GGTTTCTGCCTGCCTCTTCCAAAGCTCTGATCCCCCAGTCTGGGGTGGGGTGGTGGTGAATAAGGTATACATGGCCCTGGCCCCCCAAAACCACCACGGAGACCTGGGTAGGGAACAGCCATACCTCAAGGGCCCTTCGAATACCTTCAGATGGATTTTATCCAGCTTCTACCCTACATGAGAATTATGTTTCAGACTGGGTTAAAGCATTTCTGTATTGAGAAGATACAGCTCCTAATCGCTGAAAAACTGAATAATGTTGTTTCCAACCTGGGATCATCCTACTGTCTTATTTCAAGTGGTCAGGTCACCTGCTTCATGTGGACCATTACGAAATAACTCTCTTAAGGTGTTCCCTCGACTCAAAACCTACACTGTCTATTTCACCCAAAATCTTCTGGTACAGTTGAAAGGACTGATGGCATTCTTAAAATCAGCAAAACGTCCAGAAAACTTTGAGCTCCCTTGGCCAAAGGTATTCTCACTAACCCATTTGGCCACATTGTCCACTCACTCAGGAACAAGTTGGTTATCCACTTGTCTTATGCATCACTGACTGGAAGATACATGTGTCTAGGGATTTCACCCCTAATATTAGCCTCTGCCCTACTACATCAGACATGGCAAAATATCACAAGGGATACATGTACTATATATACTCAGTCTCTATCACCAACTTGGTAAGGCTACCATTTGGTCATGAAAAGAATTACAAAAAAAAAGAATAATGGCTATCTTTCACAATGAAGCCAAATAGGTTGATTTACAATTAATAGAACTGGAACTATGGAGAACAATGTGCCACGGAGATGGTCCTTTATCAATATGTGACCATTGATAGGGCACTTACTGATCATTCTCCAAGAGCAACTCCTAAAGATGAATATTTTACTTCTACAAAGTGTATTCTCTTTAGGGACAAGTAAAGTAGTAAGTATATTCTGTGTTTCTGGTCCATGGGATAAGATTCTCTTCCATTGCTGTGTTTCCAAATAGTTCAGATTTCGGCTGTGTGTGTGTGTGTGTGTGTGTGTCTGTGTGTCTGTGTGTAATTTCAGTCTTTTAAAAAGAATCTTTATTGAGGTATAGTTGACAAACCTGTGCGATATTTAAAATATGTCGCGATGATTTGATACATGTATACTAAGTGAAAGGCAAATTAAGGCTTTGATCTGGGTTTTCTGACTTCCTCTTTTACGGTTAACAATAAAAAAAACTAATAGAAATTGGAATTTGTGAACTGACAAAGGTGTACCTTTAAAATGTTAATGTTTTATTTAACTGATAAATAGAAGGTAGAAAAGTCTAATAATGTTAAGTATTAGGAGGTATAACTTATTACAGCTGGATTACTCGAGTGACTCAGGATTTTAAGTTACACGAGAAATACTGAGCAAACCATATAAAACATTAACATTTTAATAAGTAACTTTTCCATAAGCAGCAAAAAAAAGGTTAGGAGTACATACAGGTGAACAGACTTGAAAGACGCACCTAAGAAAAGCCATACAAATGTATTCCGTATCCTGATTGCAATCTGCCTTACATTACTACTTAACAACTTAGGCATGGACAAATGTACCATGTTTTAAAAATACTTTTGTGTCTATGGCCATGCCACCCTGAGTAAGCCTGATCAAGCCTGATTTTGGAAGCTAAGCAGGGTTGGGGCTGGTTAGTACTTGGATGGGAGGCCACCTAGGAAGACCAGGTGCTGTAGTAGTAAAAAATAAATACTGAAAAATAAGGGATTGTAAGCTGACAAGGTCCTTGCAATCTGTGAGGTCAACCAAGGGTTGCCGTGCCTAAAGCACCACCTAGGAAGATCAGGTGCTGTAGGAGTAAAAAATAAATAAATAACGAAAAATAAGGGATTGTAAGCTGACAAGGTCCTTGCAATCTGTGAGGTCAACCAAGGGTTGCCGTGCCTAAAGCAATAATAATAAATAAAAATAAAATAAAAAAATAAAGACTTTTGTGTATTGGGCTATCTGAATTATGAGCCCTTACATTCCAGAAATGCATTATGAAAATGGCAGGCATCGACTGATCTGGAAGCATAAGTAAACTAACTCATTGATGTGTATGAGGATGCTAAGCTGACAAGGTCCTTGCAAACTGTGAGGTCAAGCAAGGGTTGCTGCGCCTAAAACAAAAATAGTAAATAAAAATAAAAATAAAAAATAAAAGACTTCTGTGTATTGGGTTATCTAAATTATGAGCCCTTACATTCTAGAAGTGCATTATGAAAATGGTATGCATCGACAGATCTGGAAACATAAGTAAAATAACTCATTGATGTGCATGAGGATAGATACAGGAACCACCATGAAGATAAATGATGGTAAACTGGGATAGATAGGATTCATGGGGCTTCATATCTTTTCTGTTTATGGCTACATTTTAAAGTTGCTATTACAAAAGGTCTTTGTATCAGTGATTTTATATGCTGAGAAAGACACATTAAAAAGGACAGGATACTTGGTTTGGGGGACACAAACATGTATGGAAACATAAAAATGCACACTTTAAATCAATTATATTTAAATCAAAACCTTTTTAAATGTATAAAACTTGCCATTTCCCAATCATCTCACTGTATCATAATCGCTGTTCTCGAGGTTATCTGTTGCTACTGCATTAGAATATTGCAAATACAATATAATGGTATGCTTCTAGAATCAATGTTCACGGACATCGTTTGCTTGGCAGTTTGAAATTGACCACAGCTTGAATATTTACACCGGAGAAATTGACGAAGGTTACAGATCTAGGCTTGATCTAATGCAAAGAAAGTGGTTGATAATATGTTCACAATGTAGATTGTATGTCTACGTGTACGGTGTAAGTGGGCTTTAAATTGTACATAGGACACACAGTTAAGGAAAAATATTTCCTTTCAACATTCAAAAACAATTATTCCATATGGCAAAGGAGTCATACACATCATTGAAGAATGACATTCCAACACATGTCGTTGTTGCGCTGGCTTCCTATTGATTAAAATAATGTGTTTTAAGAAATGTCAAAAGATTCTGAGCAGACAGTTTATCAAAGAGAGAGAGGGTAAAGAAATGCATGGGGAAAAAAATCACCCAACATCGTCAGTTCTTAGGGAAACGAAATTAAAACCAAAGTGAGTTTCCACTACACATTTATTTCTGAAATGAATAATACTCAACAATAAAACCAAAAATTAAATAATGTGAGCATTATTGTTGAATCTCAAAATAATTGTGCGGCATTAAGGAAACCAGTATTTAAAAACATAAGAGTATACACTTTATGATGCCTATTTAAAATTACAGAAAACACAAACCAATCTCTTGTCAAGGAAGGTAATTGATGATGGCTGGAGGGCTGGAGAAGGGAGAGAGATTATAAAAAAGCTCAAGGAAACTATGCGGGTGACAAGATAAGTTCACCTTCACGTGTGATGGTTTCGTATCTTTATCCCTGTCAAAGCCTACCAAATTGTACACGTTCGATAATTGCACTTTGTTGCACATCGATGATACACATATCTGAATAAAGCTTTAGAAATTGGTTCATAGATGTCACTTTTCTTGGAAAATTAGGTTGGCAACCCTCTATGGACTCTACCACCTCTCCCCTCGGGCCCGGGGAGGCACAGCGCGCCTCAGTGGCAGCAAAT